AGGGCCCTGCAGCCGCAGCGGCCCCACGGCCCCCACACCCCACAGCCGCCCGCCCAGCCGCTCCCTGGCACTCACGGCTCCACCGGCTGCCCTGCGCGGCCTCCCCGGGGGTGGGGACCCCTGCCCCGACGGCTCCCCCAGACAGTAAGTGCAGCGCGGCCAGGGCAGGGGCGAGGGCAGCGCCAGGGCGGCCGTTCCCCCCGGTCGCAGGGGTCCAGTCCCCGCGCAGGGGCCAGCCGCAGGCTCTGCCCACTGGCCCTGTCCATGGGGGCAGGCGGAGGGGCCGCTGCCATGCTCGCGCACATTGGCAGCACCAGCAGCCGTTGGCACGGGAGGTGGGGGGGGCGCTGCTGTGGGTGTGCAGCCCATTGCAGGACCCCCAGGGTGGGGACACCCCAGAAAACTCCCTACATCTCTCTTTATGAGGGGGGAGCCCAGGCCTGGCTGGCAGGTGCCTCAATGCTGCCTGCTCTGCCCAGCATCCCCCCATGGCACCGGCTGGGCACGGGGGGACAAGCCCGGGACCCCCACACCCCCACGTTCCTGCTGAGCCAGGGCAGCTGGTGGTTTCGGTGCTGCTTTGGGAGGGTCTGTGCTGCTCGGTGTGGCGCCGGCCAGGAACCCCAATGACAGCCCCACTGGCATCCCCCTCGCCGCTCCCCGGTGAGGCGCTCATTCCCAGCTGGGACCTCTGGCCCCTACTGACGTGACAAGAGGTGTGGGCAGATGATAGTTTTCACTATCTGGGTCATCGGGGGCCATAAATGAGCAGCAGTGAGTTACGGGCAGGAACACGAGGAGGTTACGGGAATCCACCTGGGTGCAGCGTGTCGGGAACGGGGGTCCAGCAGCCCTGGCTGGTCCCTGCTGCGGGCAGCAAGGCTGAACCCCCCGGGCTGGGCAGGTGGCTGGGCATCGCCCTGGGGCCGGCCCATGGTGCCCCAGGCACCCCTGACGAGCCCCAGGGGCTCCAGCCTCAGGAAAGGCTTAAATGGCTGCTCAGCTGCTGGCCCAGGTGGGTCTGCCCTGGGAGGAACGCTGCAGCGGGCTGGGCGCTGAGTGCAGGCAGCTCCGTCACCACAGCCCCAGTCTTGGCCTTGCTGCCCACCCCGGGAGGCTACGAGTGCTGGGGGACCGTGCCCGGCGCCAACGTCCCCCTGAGCTGCTCAGGCTCACGCGAGCCCAGCCGGGAGCGGGGTGGCACAGTTGTGGCTACGCCTCGGCAAACGGTGCGGGAGGGTGTGCTGCTGGCCCTGGGGCTCGTCTGGCTTGCCCAGGGCCGGCGTGTGTTTCGCTGGGACAGGGACAGCAAGAGCCACTGTTGGGGGGGACCCACCTGTGCTGCCCTCCCTCCCCTGGCACCGCCGCCCCGTCCAGCTCCGGTTGGCGCAGGAGGATCGACGCCAAGGGCAAGGCAGTTCACTCCCGCTTTGCGCGATACGGGGGTTAAAGTCCCCCCTTTTTATGAGCCATGAAACCATTTTTATGATCCCTGCCGTTTCAATAGCTTGGCTGCTCGGAGCCTCCTGCCCACAGAGCACAGGGAGGAATTCCAGGCCGAGGGGGATGCGGTGCCGCTGCCTCTGCATGCCACGAGCTGGTGCTGCGGGTGGCCGGTGGTCCCTCCTTGCCTGGTGCGCACGGTAAGGTGGGAGGGCGGCCGTGCCAGAGCGGGCAAGGGCTGGCAGGAGGGGCGCAGCCAAGCTGGACGCGGCATCGCCCGAAGAGCGTTGCTCAGCTCTGCCAGGGCTCGGCGTGGAACGGGACGGAGGCGGGAGGGGGATGAGGCTTTGGGCAGCTCCTGCTGGGAATGGCACTTGGTGCTTCTGTCCCAGACCCCACGCTTCTGGGTGAGGGGAGCAAACGGCTGCTGGGCCCTGCCTAGTTGGCCCCCACGGTGGCTGTCCCCTGGTCACCGCCCAGGGGGGAACGGCAGCACCATCCTGGGATGGGGAGCTGCACCCCTTGCCCTCTGCTCCTTCCACTGCTCCTAACGGCTGCTCTCCCCTCGCCTGCAGGGCCAGCCAGGTCCTGCCCCTTGTCCTCACGTGAACCAGGAGCCCCAGGGTGGACACTGAGCAGCATCCCCGGCCCAGGGCGAGGGCAGCAGAGGGTTGAACGGCGGCTCCAGCCAGGAGATGGACAGAGTCACCAGGCACCTGGTCTTCCAGCTCCCCCAGCCCTCGCACAAGCACGACTCTAATGATGCTCCCCAGGCCGGTGCATGGGCAGAGCAGAGGGCCGACAGCGACGACGACGTCTTTGGCCCTGCTCAACACAGCAGCCAGCGGGTGGAAAATGGCTATGGCTGGAAAACAAGGTCAAAGTCACCCTCATACTTCCTGGATGGTGGAAGAGATGTCTGGACCCCGTCCCCGGACAGGGAGTCCAAGCTGGAGGTGGTGAGGTCAGGAAGCCTGTACGACCTCAGGGCCTACAGAGGTGAGAGGAAACCCTCAAAGCTTTACGATGAGGACGAGCAGGAACAGTGTAGGGTCCCTCCACCAAACATCTCGCCTGAGAAAGCCAAGGAGCTGGAGGAGGAGAGGAAGGAGGTCATCCGGAACCAGGTGATGAGGAAGAGCTCCACCATGGCTGAGAGGTGGAGCTCCATGGATGAGCTGAGCTCCATAAACACCAGCACGAGCAGCTTCACCAGCAGCTTTGCCATGTGCTTCAACAAGCCCTCCTCGGGGAGGGCAGGGACGCCTGTTGACCCTGAAAATATCGACACAGAGCAGATCAACTTCACCGCTGCTCGGCAGCAGTTCCTGATGCTGGAGAAGACCAACCCAGGCTCTTTTTTCAGCCCAGGGCTACAGGCCCTGTCTCCAAAGCCAGAGTCAATGACAAAAGTCTCCAGGCAAGAGTGGCCGAGTCCTGAGACGGCCACGAAGGCTGCGAGAGGTTACGGTAGTGCTGGTGCATCCAGCCAGAGCAGGACGGACAAGACTGTTTATCAGGTTTATAGTGTGTCCTACAACACACCTGCGAAGGAGGAGGTTTATGCTCCCAGAAGCGCTGATACTGAAAAGTCGTATCCCACCACGAAAATGTCCAGCTTGACTAAAGCATCTTCCAGAGAGGACCTGGACTCTGGCTTGGGCGAGATGTATAATGAGGCCAGCGTGGGCTATGCCAGCGATGGAAGCACATCCAGTGAGATCGTCAACGGCCTTGTGGGTCTGAGGGCCGGCAGCAACGGCCTGGACAAGGGGATGAAGTTTGGCAATGAGACACCCATCGAGCGGGAGATCCGCATGGCCATGGAGAGGGAGGAGAACCTCTGGAAGGAGAGGGGCATCCAGCGGCTGACCTCCAGCAGCGAGCTGGTGGAGATCAAGACCAAGCCTCTCCTCTCCATGGACGCCTCTCCCAGCCCTGGCAGGAAAGGGAAGGACAAAGGCCACGCTTCCCGTTATGTCCAGAGGGAAATTGAGCAGGAAATCAAGCGCGAGGAAGATCTGAGGAAGCAGGGGAGGCTGCTGGGGACGTATGACCGGGGGACGCAGCAGGAGCTGGACGAGCGCCGGAGGGTGTTCGAGCAGGAGGAAGCCCCCCCGCAGAAGCCCACCCCCCCGAGGAAGGTAGAGGAGCGGAGGGGCTGGGTCAGTGAGTCTGTGGCGGAGCAGCCCACGAGCCACGGCCCCTGCCCCGCAGGAGACACGAGGGGTGGCAGAAGCCCTCCCAGCCGCACGGCGCCGCCGGCCAGAAGAGCCAGGACCAGCCCCTGGTGTCCCGGCACGTTTCCGCCAGCACCAGCAAATGGGGGAGCGAGGAGTCCTGGGGCTGTCTCTTAT